AATTATCTTCACTTACACCATCTAATACTGTGTACATGCTCTGTAAATATTTGTTCTTCTCTATTATTTAGGGAATAATGACAAGTAGAAGAAACCTGTGCTTGTTCAGTACAGACACTTTTTTTCTGATATTTTTCTATCTGCAGTTGGTTGAATCTATGGATATGGAACCCATGAATGTGAAGGGCCAATGGCATTTCTTCTCTTTTTTATTAAATGAAAAGTGTCAAATGTTTTTCTTAGATCAAGATTATTAGTATTATTTGGAACACTCATATCCTTGTTTTTTGTTTGCTTGATATAGCAATTATTTAAGTGTTTTAGACCATTTTCTGTTGCTAGAACAAAATGCCTGAGGCTGGGTAATGCTTAAAGGAAAGAGATGTATTGCACTCATTGTTCTGGAAGTGCAAGAGCACATGCGTCAGTGTCTGCCCAGCTTCTCGGTAGGGTCATGTGTGCTCCATATGTGGTGGAGAAGTGTGAGGGGAAGTGGGTCCTGCAGGAGGAGCACATGTGTAGGAGGCACCAAGGAGAGGTACCAGGCTTGCTTCAGAACTACTCTCTCTCATGGGAAATACATCAGTTGTTCATGCAGTAAAGCCCCCATGATCTAATTACCCTTTAAGCATCACTAAGTTGGGAGTCCAAGCTGCAGCATGAGCTTTGGTGGAAACAAACTATATTGTAATCATAGTGCTTGGAGAGAGGTGTTAGCAGTCTCCATTAGGATTATAGATTTCTTCTTCATTTATAGCCATACTGTTCAGGTTTTGCTTTATATATTTTAATGCTCTATTTTTAGTTACATAGCTTCATGATTGATAAATTATTTGTTGGATGCTTCCTTTTATTAGTAATGAAATCTCCTTTGTCCCTTTTAAGTGCTATTTACTTAAAGTGCTTGATGTTAATAATTAACCACAGTGGCCTTCTTTTTAATTGGCATTTTTCTGATATATGTTTTTCTGTTTCCTAATTCTTAAACATTTGAATTGTTTTGTTTTAGGTGTAAGCTTCATGAGCTATATAGGGCAGATTTTTCAGCCAGTCTGTGAGAGTGTCTGTTTTTTTAGTAAGGTAAGTTATTTACCCTAATTAATGGTACCTGTAGATTTACTTCTGCTATCTTTGGTGGTTTCTATTTGCTATGCATTTTTTCTGGGTTTTTTTCCCCCTCTTTTCCTGCCTCCCAGCAAATAGACAGCTCGCTTTATTTTTCTCTCTCAGTTTGGAAGATATGTGCTCCATTCGTTCACTGACTGGTCACTGAAAGTCAGTATGCACTTTTGTGTGTGTGCGCACGTGTGTGTGGGTTTGAACTGAGGACTGAATGCTTGCTAGGCAGGTGCTCTACCCCTTTGAGTCAGTCCCCCAGCCCTTTTTATTTTAGTTGTTTTTCAGGCAGCATCCTGCTTTTACTCAGGGCTGGCCTTAGAGCACAGTCCTTCTGCCTGTGTCTGCTGCATAGCTGGGTCACAGGCACACACCTTCATGCCCAGCTGGTTTATTGAAATGGGGGCTTGCTAAGTTTCTGTTGGGGTTGGCGTCAAACTTCATCCTCTCGAATAGCTGGGATCACAGGTATGTGCCACAACACCCAGCCTGAAGTTTAATATATCTCCTTAAGTGAATTTTCAATCAAAATGTTGAGGCTTATCAGTATCTTCTAGTTCCTCTTGAGTGTTAGCATATTTTAATTTTCCTCTGAAACATCTTTGTGCAGCTACTGTGTCGTTTTAATTTCACTTTTTTTACCACATGGAAAATTTGGTTTTCTTTTTACTCTTGTCTCTTTTTTTCATTTCTGCTGTCTCTGGTTATTGTTTTTTCCTGTCTTTTAAATCTCCTTGCTTACCTTTGCTTCTTGCATTCCATTCCTTCCTCCTGAGTTCAATTTTCTTCATATTAAAATGCATCCTTTAGTAGTACTTCGATCAAGAATTTGGGGGCTTTATAAATCCTAGTCTGAAAGTGTACTTACTTTCTAGTCTAAAATTCACTTACAAAACAGGTACAATAACATCAGCTCACCTGCCATACAAGGATTATTGGGGAAAGAAACAAGTGCCTAATATAAATTATTAGGCCTGTGTGTGTATATATGTGGCATTATTAGTAGGTAAGGTAAATCCTTTTTTATTTCTATTAGCATTCCTATATTTAGAATTTTTTAAACTCAGTCCTGTGTTAAGATAATGCATATGGAAATAATAGAGACTAATTAATAGCTAGCAGAAATGTCAGGAGTTGCGCACGATCAGGTTTTGGGAGAAGCTGGGGCAGAGTAAAACTCTGCATCACAATTTGATAGCATAACTTTGAGTCGCACAGGCACAAAGGCCAGGTTCTTGGCTTTGTTTTTATTTAAAGGGGCGATAGATGAATAGTGTAGACAATCCAAATGCTAGACAAAGAGGTCTTCCAGAAACCCCAGAGAAGGTCAACCATCCACATAGTAAGACTCATCCTTCCAAATATCTTACACTGCATATGTGGTACATGGATTTATCGATATTTATCTTTTCATCTTTCAGAAGGAATTCTGTCTTATGTAGAGTTTTGCAACTATTTTTCACTTAGTAAATATATCAAGGGAGCTTCATTGTACATTGTGAATGAAGATGTGCTGTTGTATGGATGTATCAGAATTTTGTTTAAACAATTCCCTATTGATAGACTTTTAAATCATAGTTTTCCATGTAATAAACAATGCACAGATTCCTGATTATTTCTTTTGGACAAATTGCTAGCAGTGATCCAGCAATCCCACTTCTAAGTATATCCAAAGGAAAAGATATACCTGCCTGCTTCCTTATTGTAGAACTATTCACGATAGCCATGCTATTGGATTCAGTGAAATGTCCATTGATAGATAATGGGTAAAATAGTGTGCTACTCATATTCAGTAACATTATTCAACCATAAGAGATAAAATCCTGCCATTTGATGCAACATGAAGGGATCTGGAGGACATTATTTTAGGTGAAATAAGCCAGGCACAGAAAGACAAACACTGTGTGTTGTCAGTCATTATTAGAAGCTACAGGGTTGATCACATAGACGTACAGCAGGAGTTAGGAACGGTAGGAGGGAAGGGGAGAGAAAGATGGTGGATAACTGGTACTTAAATACAATTAGAGGAGGGGAAGTAGTTCCAATGTCATTTTGCCTACAGTGAGTGTAGTTTATAGGAATTATACATTTCTAAATAACTAATAGAAGAATTTGATAGTTCCCAACTTATAGAAATGGTTTGAGCAGGTCAGAATGATATTTGCCCTGACCAGATCATTACACTCCTATATATGTATTAAATTTCAACACTGCATGCCATAAATGAGTGCAGGTATTATATGTCAATGAAAACATTTAAAGCTTTTTATAAACATTTTTAAGTTTCCCTCTGGAGAGTACATGAGAATACCGGCAGGAATGTTTTTTCCCTCACACATACTATGTACCATTACTTGTTTTTTTTTTTTTTCATTTACTGGTTTGAGTTTTTGGTAGAATATCTCTCTGCTTGTGAGTTTGAACATCATATTAGTCACCTTTTCATCTTTATGACAAAATACTGGAGACAATTAGCTTTTTAGGAGAGCAGATTTTTAAGAGAGCAGATTTATTTTGGTTCACGGTTTCAGAGGTTCAGTCTATGGTTGGTTGACTGTCTCTGCTGGACCTTGTGGCAGCATAGTACATCATGGTGGGAGCACATGGTACAGGAGCATAGCTGCTGGGAAGCAAAAAGAAAGACAGGAAGGGGTGGAGTCCCACTATCCTCTTCAAGGGTATACTCCCAGGGACCTAACTTCCTTCCTCTAGGCCCCACCTACTACAGCAAAGATTTCACCACTTCCCAGAAGCACCATGGGCTTTTGGGAGGTATTCAAGGTCTAAACTGATGCAAACCCCTTTTCTTGTTTTAATGACCATTTGTGAGATTTTGAGAATTTTTATTTTGGCCATTTATTCTCATCAGTGTTCATCTGTAAGAACTTGTGTTTTTTTATTAAGCTTCTTTGTCATAAATAGATCAGGCATTTTTCCCAAGGTTTTTTTTTTTTTTTTAGTTTTCACCCTCATTTGCATTCACTTTTCAACTTTATGAATTTTTTGAAATATTTGATCAAAATTTCCTTTATGGTTCTGAGTTGCTTTCTTACAGTGGAGTAATTGAAACGTCTTCCATTTCAAGATTATTAAAATGTTCATCCATATTTTCTTTTGTTTTTTTTATGTTTGCTTTTCTTCCATTTGTGAGGCTTTAATCCCTAGAGACTATTTTTGTGGTATAAGGACTGATGCATGTCAGTGCCTCTGTGTTTCTCATGACCTCCTGTAGTTTGTAAACTTGATCAGTGAAAAACATCAGGCTATGAGAGATTTAATTGTGGTAGGAAGTGAATTGTGCCCAATCCTTTTCAGTTTGTTAGCATATAATAAGTATTCACGAGTGGAGATGGGTTGGGGGTCAGGAGTGGTCAGGTCAGTGGTGATTGGCATTTGCACCTCTTGGCTGAGTTCTGTGAAGGTGTGTGGAATAGAGAATTAAGAAAGTTGATACTGGCAGAAAATCTCTGTAGTTTTCTGTTTATCTTCCCTTAGTGACCCAGGTTCTTTATCAAGAGAAGTGGATCTGTAATAGGGTGACAGGATACAAGGGTGCTGAGAAGACTTAGGGTGTGTGTATTGTTTTTTTCTTCCATTTCTGGGAATCAAACATAGGGCTCATGCAATGTAAGCTACCCCTGAGCTATAAGCCTTAGAGATATGTTTTGAGTCTATACTATTTTTTTTAGTATGAAGTGTCCTTTTTCTAATAATGTCATAAACTATAAATTGTGTGGACAAGCAGTGCTTTTAGAACTTTTATTTCAACATATGTTCTTATTTCAGAAAGTAGTGGAGAGTATAGAGATTTTTCCTTTCCTCTCTCTGACTCATTTCCCCCGACTTATAGGTAAATGCTATTAATATTCTTTCATATTTTACAGAAATTTCAAGCATCATTTTTGATAACTACATCTGGTGAATGGTCACTTCGTAAAACTGAAGGTCTTCCACTCAAAAGAAAGAAATCAAAAAGAAGGAGGTAAGAAATAGAAATAGATTTATAATTTTGGCATGCACTTTTCTTATTTTTCTTCACATAGTGAGAATTCATCAAGATTCTTTCTTTTCAATAATCATTTTTGTCAAGAAAGATAAATTTGGAGAACTCAAATAGAATGGATCAGATGCCAAGGGTGGAACTACAGGTAAAAACGGGCTCTGTTTGATGTGTACCTGCCACGCCTAGTCTGTGTTAGGCATTGCGAGCTTTGTTTGTGTTACTGTTCATTTGCACTGTGTTGATGTGTTCGGTGTGTGAGGTAGGAAACCAGAGCTCCAGGAGATTCGTAATGTGCCCTCTCACCCTGGTTCTTATGGGACAGAACCAGCAGAGTATGAACTCTGGTCTTTCTGCCTTTAGAGCCACCTGTTTGTATGTGACCAGAAGTCTGTTCTGATCAGTCCTTTAAAGAACTTTCCGTACTTTGGGACTATATAGTTTTTCCCTTTTTTGCTTCTGTTTCATTTTCTTCATTGTTCCATACACAGTAGACACCATAACCATTATCACAATTTCACATTTAGAAACCACAGCTTGTAGAATGTATAAAAAATTGACTTTTATAATAAGGTGTGCTGTTGAAGTTCTTCCCATGAAGAGTAGCCCATGTCCTGTTATAAATGCCCTTTACCCAGGATGCTTGCCTTAGGTTTGTGTGAAATTTGTTACAGTATGCTTATTTGTTAGAACAAGGCATGAAATTGCCACCTGACAACTATTGTGATAAATGTACAATTTGGCTGAGATGCACAGTTTCCAGTAGGCAAGTGAAAAGAAAATGTATAAAAGTAGTTTTTATTTCTTTCATCAGTTTCATTCTAGAACTATTCTGTCACAGGTTTTTTTCAGTGGACTATATATGGCTAATAAGACTGTAGAAGAGGGTGAGTGGTGATTGGACAGACCTATACTGTATTCTCTTGCATATGTAAATAGCTTTCAGTGTCCATTTTAGTGCTGTGATGGGCCTCCCTCTCTCTTGTACTTTGGTGAGAACAATTGTCTTTGCCAACAAGGTTAGAGAATAGAAGTATAGAGGCAAGGTGCATATACAGGAAACAAAACTGGAGAGAGTTTTATCCCATCTCATTGTGTGACTTAAAATAGAAGAACCATTGGAGATACATAAGTAATCAGGATAGGTGAATATAGCCAGATGGAAAGGAGTCTTGAGATTTGGTCATTTTTATATGTATTAAGAGACAGGAATTGCGTGTTCAAAACCCCTAAGGATAACCCACGGTAGAACCCTTGGTAGACCAGTCTTCCTATAATGACTTTACTGTTCACCCTCCCAGATGACTGTGGGTGACAGGCACCTGTCAGCAGCCATCTCAGCCCATTCTTCTCATGTTGTTGATCTATCCCTTATTCTGAAGTTTCTAAGCATTTGTTATAAAGTCTCTACTGTACCCTCGTGCTATGTTTGCACATTGCTTTGGGATTCTTTTTTTCTTCCCATCTTCTTCCTTTGGTACTAAGTAGTGTGTTGCTGTGGAAGATATCCAATGAACACTCATGCATGAATGTCCTTAGACTGTCTAGGCCTGTGTCAAGGTACCAGGAAAACCCTGTGGTATCTGGGGCAGAGCTGAAATCTCATTGTTACCCACAGAAGGAAGGTACTGGGTCACATATCTGTTTTCTTTTCTCAACTGGAGGTTCTTGGTAAAAGCAAGTATTCTAGAAGGTTCCCTCCTGTGATTCTGACCTGGTATATGATTTTTGGATATGCCAGAATAGGAGATGTGAAAACTCAGTACCACAGACTGGCATTTAATTTAAGCACTTACTATCCAGACTAGGAATTTAGTTCAGCCAATGAGGTGAAAAGGGTGCAAACTAAATCTATTTCTCGTCTGAGTGTGTCAGACCAGAGGTGTGTCTAGAGGTGTCACTTTCTTTATCTTACCTTACATCTATAGCCACCACAGGTAATTACTTCTACTGGGTTTTTCTTTTCCCAGCTAGAATCATCTTACACTCTGGGTTTATTTGAACATGGTGCTAGTAATACCTTCTTGCATTCAATCTTTTCATTTTCCATAGTAATAAAAAGGAGAATAAACATGCTTTTGTTTGCTTTTAATTATAGATTTATTTTTTAAGCCACCCATCTCTTTGTGTCCTTCCAGGCATCTAGGAAGAAGCCATATTTCATAACAGCTATTTGTATAGAATAAGAAATATTTATATCAAAATAATTAAAAGGTATGTGTGAACCTTGGTCTTGATGTAAAAGCTAAAATATATTTTTGGCTGTTGGTATCCATTTGCTTATGGTTAAATGAAGGTATGTAGGGTTCAGGTCAAGGTGTTTGGTTTTGCTTTGAAGCATTTTTTCTCCTGCTCTTTCTCCTTGAGTAGGTAATCAGGTATCAGTTGAGACGATGTTTGGGGGTGGTAGAATGCTAACCCTGCCTTTCATAAATCTTCCAGAACCTGTGCCTTCTGTGCTTCCTAGCTGCCGTGGATGGCTCTGGCTCTGTTGACTGCCCTTCCCAGTAGGATGTCACTGAGATCCCTCAAATGGAGCCTCCTGCTGCTGTCGCTCCTGAGTTTCCTTGTGATGTGGTACCTCAGCCTTCCCCACTACAATGTGATAGAACGGGTCAACTGGATGTACTTTTATGAGTATGAGCCAATTTACAGACAAGACTTTCGCTTCACACTTCGAGAGCATTCAAACTGCTCTCATCAAAACCCATTTCTGGTCATCCTGGTGACCTCCCACCCCTCAGATGTAAAAGCCAGACAAGCCATTAGAGTTACATGGGGTGAAAAAAAGTCTTGGTGGGGATATGAGGTTCTTACATTTTTCTTATTAGGCCAACAAGCTGAAAGGGAAGACAAAATGTTAGCATTGTCTTTAGAGGATGAACATCTTCTTTATGGCGACATAATACGACAGGACTTTTTAGACACATATAATAATCTGACTTTGAAAACCATTATGGCATTCAGGTGGGTGACTGAGTTCTGCCCCAATGCCAAGTACGTCATGAAGACAGACACTGATGTTTTCATCAATACTGGCAATTTAGTGAAGTACCTTTTAAATTTAAACCACTCAGAGAGATTTTTCACAGGCTATCCTCTAATTGACAATTATTCCTATAGAGGGTTTTACCAAAAAGCTCATATTTCATACCAGGAGTACCCTTTCAAGGTGTTCCCTCCCTACTGCAGTGGGTTGGGTTACATAATGTCCAGAGATTTGGTGCCAAGGATCTATGAAATGATGAGTCACGTAAAACCCATCAAGTTTGAAGATGTGTATGTTGGCATATGCTTGAATTTGTTAAAAGTGGACATTCATATTCCAGAAGACACGAACCTTTTCTTTTTATTTAGAATCCATCTGGATGTCTGCCAGCTCAGACGTGTGATTGCAGCCCATGGCTTTTCTTCCAAGGAGATCATCACATTTTGGCAAGTTATGCTCAGAAACACCACATGCCATTATTAATTTCACACTCGACCAAAAGCCTAGAGGACAGGATGCCTTGTAGAAAGTGCTAATGTTGGTGCCATGGAAAACTCAGGGAAAGCCAGAGTGCTGGCTTGCCCTGGGCCGAAATTCATGGAGAACCTGTAGACCTGAGGCTGGAGGTCTACACTTTACTAGTGATTTTTTTTTTTTTGACAAAATTTCAAGTCAGTCCTTTAAAGAGGAATTAAACATAAAGGAATCAGAGATTTTTAATAATAAAATTAATAGAACCAAACAATTTGAATATGTGTTTCCAAAGACTAGAATTTCTTAAAGTATTTCCCTGAGTGACAAGCTCACTAGTCCATAACAAGAAGCAATGTGGAGTTCTACTTATAGAACAGTTTACTTACATAAGGGTTGAGTGTGTCTTACATGGATTATCAATTAAATAAATATATACAGTTCTATGGGAAAAACTTTGTTGAAGTTATACTGAACCAAATTTCATCTGTTTTTGGTCACTGCGAAGGTAGTTCAAAGTGTTGCAGTATTTCAGAGTTACCAATTGTTATTTAATGTTACTTCAAACTTCCTGGGTGTGTATAACTAGGATAGCAAATCGCTTTTTATGTATGAACTTTGTTCCGGTTACTTCACTGATCAGGTTATTATTGACAGCCCCATGAATGTGAAGTCCTTACTGAGTATTGGTAATCTCTTGGACTTTGTTGAATATTTTATTATGGTAGTTTAGAAAAGAATTAAAACAATAAAATCTGAGTTATTGTCTTGTTTTAAAAAGTATAGTCCCCATTGCTTTTATATGTCACTTCATCTGTCTCATATTTCCACCTGGAACTTAGGAATAGTATAGAATGATAGGCAGTATATTTCCTTTTGGAAAGGACTCTGAAGGCACAGAAGTCCAGAATGTTATAAAAACAATGTCATATTCCAGTATTTGAATTGGAAAGAGAAGATGGAAGATCCAGATTGCCTTGTTAATCTACCCCATGTGTTTTCTCATTAACAATCAATTTGTGAATAAACAGGAAAAAAAAGCAAAAAAACCCCTGCTGCTACTGTTCTTACTTTGTCATCAGGATGAAAGCCCTGCCATGGAGTCTGAAGTCAAGTCTGATTAAATCTCACGTGCTTTAATCGAAGTGGAGATACATCCTTTGTTGCCCCTGTATTTCTGGGATTGTACAATTTTCTGTTAGCGTTGATGTGGAAGAAACAATTCCTTTTTTCTTAATTGTATGATAGGTAAAGATCAAATCCTTTGGCAGGAAGTATAAACTTGAAAGGCTGTAGGCAGCTTTGTAATATTCATATATTTATACTTCTATATGAAAATCCTAACTTCAATAGAAACTGCTGTCATTGTGTGCTTCTCTGTAGAAGGAGGCTTTTTCTTTTACCCCAGGCCCAACGGACCAGAACCACTTAGATAAAATCAATTGAATGAAATACTCTATGGAATCAATCTGTGTACTGGCTATCCCCTTACATAGAGAAGTCACTTTGTTTAAGACAGATGGTGATGGTGGTGGTTAATATGATTAGATTTGTTTAGTTTTATAGAAGATTTATATTGATGTTTGTGAAGCTGACTCAAAGGATTTTTTTTTTTCTTTTTGGTCGTTCTGAGGATTGAACCCAAGGTCATAGGATGCATAATGCATCCTAAGCAAGCACTCTTATCACTTGAATCATGCCCCCAGCCCTCAAAGGATTTTTAGAGAGAACTTTCTAAATAAAAAATAACTTCCTTTCACTCTAAGAAAAGACCCAGGAAAACCAGACCCAAAGTTGTAAAGATTATTCCTTTCAAACTAAAGATTCCCTCTTAAAAGATTTGTAAAAACAACTATGAAAATGCTTGTGTTGTTATATTTTTGTTTTTAACTGCATGGTTTGTGACCTTTCAGGTGGTAAATACTAGTCAACTGTGTTGGTAAAATCATAACCTCTGGTCAACAGCTTTTTAAACTTCAGCTCATACAACAAAGTTTAACTCTGGAACTTACCTTCAAGCTATCCATACCACATCCCTGCTATCCTGTGCTCTTACACACTTTCTGCTTCACTCATTTACTTTGCTTGTCCATAAGCATTGAGTTTGTGACCCTTAGCACATTAGTGAGCTTTTCTTAGATTATGTTGCAGTGACTCCCATGTCTTGGAGGATGGAAGACAACTGTGTTTTCTTTAAAGTTGTGTTGCATTTTGCTGGTTACTAGCAATTGGCTGAGTCCCTGCTCCAAGTGTCTTCTCTTCAGGACACAGGGCAATAGGCAGCCCCTGTCTAGAATACACCATTCTTACAGAGGAAGGGAAAAGTACAGATTGGAAATATAGTGTCATATACATCCACTGGCCAAACCAAGTCCCATGCCAAGCCCAGTATCAGCCCAGTAGAGAAGCATGCCCCTCTCATGGTAAGTGATTAACGTCATGGTGCAGCGTCCAGGGCTGTATTCTTCCATGGAATGGAGAATGAATGTTGGGTGTGGCACTGTAATCTGCCATACCTACTGTGTGAAAAAGAGAGGGAACTCCGGGCCTATGGTTCTGTTAGGGTTTGGATCATGAGTGTCCTCCAAAGGCCCTATGCTAAAGGATTAGTTGCCAGACTGGTGCTGTTGGGAGATGGTGAAACTTTTGGGAGGTGAGCCTTAGGGGGAGGAATTTAGGTCAGTAGCATACTCTTGAAAAGACACTGGGATTCCAGCCCCTTCCCTCTCTCTTTGCTTCCTGGCTCCCAGGAAGGCAGTACCACAGGCCCAAAGTAACCAGGCCTAGTGACCGTGGACTGAAACCTCTGAAACCATGCGCTGAAATAAGCCTTTCTTCCTTTAAATTTATTATTTCAGGTATTTTGTCACAGTGATGGAAAACTAACACAGGTTCTGAGGCTAGCTCAAGTCGATCAGAGTTCTTCCATCTCACCTGAAATTTGTGCTCTGGGCTTTTGGCCCTTCCCTGACAGATCTGCTTTCTCGCTGACCTCCTTAATCTCTCCTTGGCTCTACCCTAAATAGTCAGCACTATCGTGCTCCCACCAACTCCCCAGATGCAGAGCAGCCAGAGCTGAGCTGTTTGTAACAGTGAAGTACCTAGCATGAGATATGGATGAAACCCTTTGTCTTGAGGTCAGGGAGGCAGTGATTGCAGTACGGAGAGAGGACCAGGAAAGGGCCAATTCTTGAGGGGGGAGAAGGTGAACACAGGAAATGTGGCAAACCCATGCTGCTATCTTTGGATTCTTCTGTCCTTAAATCCACTGGGACTTAATCTGCTTTCTGTTAAACCAATTCATCTGGATTTTTTGTTTGTTTGTTTTTTTGGTGGGACTGGGTTTTGAACTCAGGGCTCAGCACTTGCAAAGCTGTTGTTCAAAAGCATATGTACTATTGCTTGAGCCACACGTCCAGTCCATTTTTGCTCTGGTTATTTTGAAGATGGAGTCTGGTGAACTACTTGCCTTGGCTGACTTGGAACCTTGATCCTCTTGATCTCAGCTTCCCAAGTAGCTAGGATTACAGGCATGAGCCACTGTCACTGGGCTTTCTTCTTGACTTGTTTTGTTGCCAAAAGCAACTCTCATTGGGACTCCTTCATACTCTCCATCGGTTCCCTGATTATCCCACATGTGGTTAATATGGGAGCAGACCTTCAAGGAGCCCATCTGCTGATGTTTATAAAAAGTTGTAGGTTTTTTGTTGTTCTGAGGCTAAATTTATTTAAAATTAAAAGTTGAGAGGTATATAAAATGATCTGAGGTGTGCCCAGATGCCTCCAAACTCTTGATTCTCTTTCATCAATATCTAAATAGCCTAGTTTGCAGCCCCATGTTCTACATAGTCAGAAGTTCACCTTGCCGTGCTCCAAAAATTCCAGAGTAGGGAAGTGGTTTATGAGTCTCACAAGTTAGACATGCCACGCCTGCCTCTTCACTGTGGCCTTTCCTGATTGTGGCCCTCAAGCCTGTGGCTATGTCATCTCTTCCCATACTTCTCATAGCTGATGCCACTGTGAACATAAAGTAATAACTGCTTTAGAGGAAATGAAAGAGTTTATTCTGTACCACACATGGGGACCCAGGAAGTAGATTTGGTCACCTTGAATCACATGTTCTGCCACTGAAGGGGTCACATAAGCTTTTATAGCCACAAAACAGAGAAGGTTATAAATCAGTGCATTTCCCAAATGCATTGGTGGGAGCATTAGGTCAGCAGGCTACAGAAAGGTGAGGGGCCTTAGTATGGGTTTTAGATATCCTAGCATTCTTGGCCTTAGGGTTGGTGGAGAGAACAGGTCTGCTAAGCTTAGCGATATGTTTTAGAGTTTTACCTAATAGTCACGAGGATGTTAGGTTAGATACAGAGGTTGAAAGTAAAGGGTTGTTAAAGGTAATTTTGGTTCTGGACCTGTAACTCCATCTCTACAATGTCCTGCTCAACTGATGTCCGGCTCAGCTGAGGTCAGTCTTTTGAGTCTTCCATATAGATGAACTTGTTCAGTCTTACATGCGCACTTGTATTTCCCTCCAAAGCCTCACTAACACAGAGATCACGTCGCTATGAATTTCAGAAGTTCACATAGCTTGAGAGCGGTAAAGAATATGGAGGTAAAGGTATCTAAATTCAAGATCTGACACTGCTGCTCCTAACCACTTGCCAGTCATTTCTTATTCTTGAAGGACAGTACCCAGTGTTTCTTCGTGTAGTTCCCACCCTCACTGGTTCTGAGCAAGCCCCTTGTAATCAACTAACTGTGACAGGAGAGACACTGCATGACCCTCCAAGGCCAGGTCAAAGAAGCCTTTAGTTGCCTCTGCTCTGGTGCTGAGGCACTGCCTGGGGAGGAGCTGGCCAGCACTTGTGGAGAGGTCATGTGGAGAGAAAGATGTATTAACACTCCTGCCCAGCCAGCTGTGGCATCAGATGACAGTGAAGGACTCATTTTGGGGCCTGCAGACAACTCCAGACAACATAGGACCTCAATTGAGGACCTCCCAGTCAATCCTTGTGAGCTCACAGAATCTGAAGAAATCATAAATTTTGCTTTAGGCTACCAAGTTTGGGACGGTCTGTATATGTAGTTAATTAAAGCCTTTCTCATCAGGGATGTATCGCCAGCTCTCCATAGGCCCCAGGCCAAGCCTTGTCTTCTTACTGCTGGTCCCTTCTCCACACTTGCAGACCCTTTTCCCCTGCTAGATGTCATCAAGGAATAATTTCCCCAAATTCTCCAGGTTAGCCCTGTGAGACTGTGAGAATGGCACTCACATTGTTGTGGGAAGAATAATGGACCAGTGAGAATGAGACTCAAACCCAGGTGGTTGGAGGAAAGGAAGATTTATTATGCTAGCCGGCCAGCACCCTGGATCTCTCCAAAAATGGCACCTGCCCCGCAGCTCAAGGCTACAGGGTTTTTATGCCTCAGAATGCAGAAGCAAGTAAGCGGGAAGGACAAAAGCAGATGTGGTGGTTAGCCTCTTGCTAGGAGGTTACAACTTACCACACTACCTCAGGGTTTCAGCATACCACACTACACATCTGTGAAACCGGGGCCTGGCCAGGGGA